TGCATGGTCGGACAAGCAGCCAAGACTCAACTTGTCTTACAACTAAACCAAGAGAAGCCACGAGCAAGTCTCGGACTCTCTTAAAATACCAGAATGCGCCTCTTTTTCGCCCACAAGAACTCACACTCTGAACGGCGGACTGAACTCACACTTCACATATGCACAACACGCTACCCTGACACCGACCCATAGCATCGACCCACGGCACCGACCCACAGCTCCAACCCATAGCACCAGCTCACGATCACCAAAATTAGTAATATTGAAGCTGATTGTTGTCCAGCCGTCCTCCCACCATCTCAATCAGGTCAAGGTGTGCACCAGTCAGCCAGCACATGAGCAGGTGCTGCACAACATGGCAGCTGCGCCTGTCTTGGTGTGACAGACTTTCATCTCTTTAAACTGGCTCTTTAATCTGTGTTCACTTCTCTCATTACATTTCACTGCACATCAGTGTTCAGCCACCGACCTCCAGTCATGAGAACTGGAAAGTTGCATGTGAAACATCGAGAAAGGTGGCAGCCATTCAAAGATATTGTTGATGGCATTCCTTGAAACGGGATTCTCATATGCCACCATTCGATCGTAGGTTCACAAATCAGTAATTGACGGAGGCGGATCAGTGGTCGATTTCTGATAATTCGAACATGTAGCATTTTCTTTGCAATGGCTTCATAGACTCTCGTCAGCAGTGGCATAGACAAAAATTCGGAATTGCCCACAGACGTAGTTTCGACATTATACTCGTCCTGGTAGAATATCAGCTCGAGCGCGTCCCAGTAGATGCTCAAAATTGGTAAGAACACTCAACCTATCGGCTCTTGGCCACTGCAGATTCGATGGCGGTCGCGGTTTATCACATTAAGCGATTGCCCTCGAATCTAGTCTTGCCCCTCAAACCTAAACTTCCTCGTGCATGACATGAAGTGATGGGACCAAGATAGTGCACGTTGATGGCAGGTACCCCCCAACGCGGCAGGGGGCGATGTCACCTTGTGCGTGCAACAATTTGTCCGTGGTTGCGATCCACGATCGCGACTAAGATGTGACCAAACATCGCAGATGAAGAGTTGCAGTTGGCAGCACAGCACAATGAAGTGGCGGGACACATTGTTGTTTTGTGAACCATGATTCCAACAATATGAATTTCTAAAGCTGTACCAAGCTATGTTTGATAAGCTGCTGACTATCCGCCTGTCTGCTGATCGTCCCAAGAACAGAGTTGTTGCGCATTCTTTGCGGCCTTCCATTCCGCGACTCCGAACGCCCACTTGGCACCACGCAACCGTTGAGTGTACTTATGCCGACGCGGGGGGCAGTGACTGGCCTATGACTGCTCCATTTCAGCATATTTTGATCCGGTGTTTGCGCGATCAGAGCATCTTTATCGGTCGGTGCTATTGCACTGGCGGAGCTATACAGGAACGGTTCTCATTGGCTGCCGTGCCACCTTACTAAGGTGGCATTTGCCGAATAGCACCGGTGCTATTGCTCCCCTGCGCGCATCCGCAACGGCGGGTGCTATGCCTACGCCGAATAGCATCACAGCAGCACTAAAATGTTCTGCGCGAATAGCACCGAAGATATTCTGGGGTGCTATTCGGCCCCGAGCGGTGCTATTTGGGGCCAAAATAGCGCCGCTCGGCGCCGAATAGCTCCGGGGGTGCTATTGGGGTGCTATTGCCCCCCAACCGTTAATGATGTTTTTTTGACTCGGATAGCCGAATAGCTCCGCCGGGACAATAGCACCCACCGATAAAGATGCTCTCAGTGGCAACTGGTACTTTGTGGAAAGCCGCTTCGGACTGTTCTTGAAAGGTGAGCAAATCAGTACATTGGTGACGCCACATGCATCAAGTGGCGCTTCGCGCACCCCCCGCGCAGCCTTCGATAGCTTCCATGCCCGTGCTCCCCGTCCTCCCCGCGCGTTCGCCCTGTCCGCGGTGCATCCCCCGGCCCCCGCAGTGCACCCCCTCGACGCCGGCTGCCTGCGCGTCTGGAGCCGGCAAGGTGGGCCAGGCGGCGCCCAGGCTGGGCGGGATGGCCGGCAGCAAGCTCCTCAGCGTCGCCCCAATGTGAGTCGCGGCGCGCGATGGCGCAAACCCGAGCGTCCTCGCCCGCCCGGGCCTGGAGGTTGGAACGCGCGGCGCCAGCCAACGCAGAGGATGCGCGGTCGCTCTGTATTGGCGTAGCCTTGCCTGTAGCAGCAATTGGATCAAGGGAACGAAGGGAGTGACATGGGGAGGTTCGCCTTGGCAGGCAGCTTGCCAACAGTCGGCCACCCAAGGAATGGATAGAGTTGGCAGCACACTCAATTGCAAACCCATGTCTTACCAAAAGACTGATGCGATGTCCGGCAACGTCTGAATGTCGCGCAATTCAAGGCAGTGAATGGGCCACTCCGATCCACATTGCTCCAATTTGTCGACCCAACCATGACCTGGCCAACCTGTCCAAGGCGGTACAAGCGGAATTGGGGAACAGTCTTCCCATTTCCTTGATGCTGTTAGTCATTCAGCAGCACAGCTGCTGAGTTCAACCAGCACTCTGAAAATGTAGCCTGCCACCCATCAGCTAATCCTTGTCATGTTTAGTGGATGGTTTGAAATTCTGAGTTGAACACAGAGTCAGAAAACGAAACGTTGCCCACTCACCTGAGATTGTGGCAGTACAGTGTCAAACATACCATATAATTGTTGTTGCCATCCCATCGCACAATACAACTGTCATGAAGCCGCTGCCCTAAAGTGGATGAGTGGCACGCATCTGATGTAGATATCTCTGTCGCATCCAAGCAAGATTCCAAATAGGTCAACAACCTCGAAGTTTGTTGGTTGGCGCCAGTGCTGTCAGAATTCCGTGTGTGACAAGGGATGAACATGATGGAATGTGAAAAGTGATGGCTAGAGGAGCTTTGCATTTGCGGGTTCAAGATATGACGATCCAGCAATATTTTCATTCACACTGCGGCCTTCCCTCCAGTTTTTTTGAAAAATACTGCTACAAGAGTCGGTGTTGGTACTGAAGCATGTGGCACTAAACAGAACCATAGTACATACCCAGTTTAGATCATTTGGATGTTTGGAATTCTGTTTGTTGTCTTGCGACCAGTGATGAGCGGTTTTTCATCTTCTTCACAAATACTCCCCTTTGGAGAGCGCTGCATTCCTTGTTTTTGAAAATGACAGGCTCGGTTGTGGCCAGTGTGCAGTGCAAATAAATGTTCTGCCCTATCTATCTTGATGGAGATGCCCCATCACACGGTGCAGTCATGGAGTGGCCAGCTTGGGTTCTTACAACATTGCAAGGGGCTCGAGAATGTTTTATGCCAGTTGCCAAAGGGTGTGATTCAGGGGTACAGTTCTCCATGCCAGAGTCGCATTGTTGCTTGTTTGCTTGCATGCTGGACCATTTGAATTGTGTGCTGTGCAGGATGGACGTCACTGACGTGCAGTTCCGTCATCTTGCCCGCCTTCTCTCTCGACACACTTGGCTGTACACTGAGATGGTGGTGGACCAGACTATCCGCCACAACCCAGTGACGGACAGGTTCTTGTGGTACCCACCGGAGCAGCACCCGATCGCATGCCAACTGGGCGGAAGCAACCCATCAACCCTCAGAGAAGCTGCTCAAATAGTGGCACAATATGGCTACGATGAGGTCAATCTAAATTGTGGCTGCCCAAGGTGAGCAAGCACTATTGTGCACCTTAGCATAGGCCAGCATTGGTTCAGCCAGCAATGGTTTGGACACCTGTTGGAGAAGCTGGTGACGATAGCCAACAAGGTGAGTGTGTTGTTTGTCCTGGGCCCAATTCTCAGGTGCAGACATGGAAGCATAGGCAATGGGTGTGCTCCACAGGGTTTGGTTGAGTATCCCTGGACAACCATGTGTGAGTACCTTGGGTCTGATCTGGGGCCATCGGCTTACACTTGCAGCTACAATTCCTTGCAAGCGCCATTGCATCAGCAACCATGATCAAATTAACAAGGCAGAACAGAATGGATACCTGCTGTGATAAATTCCCAAGCTGTGCAGTTTCATGCACATTGGCTTGCATCTTTTGAAGTTATGGGTGGGGTCATCACAGCATTCAAGTTGGCCTGAACAGAGATGTATGTGTATAATGTTTGATGGTGCAGTGACCGCGTGGCCGGTGCCGGGTGCTTTGGGGCTGCTCTTATGCTCCAACCAGAGGCTGTGGCAAACTGTATGGCTGCACTGAGGGAGGCGACAGATGTTGCAGTCACTGTCAAGTGCAGATTGGGTGAGTCCTGCTTATTGTGTGGCGACCAATAGCCTTCTCCGTGGCTATTGTTTCAGTGAAGTTGTTTTGCAGCTTTCCCAGTACTGCATGGCAGGGCACAAGGCGTTTGTTTTGTGTACTGCAGCTGTGCACAGGTCTCCAGCAGCATATTGCTTTGAAGCACATTCTGTGCACGAACATGGGCATTGGTTGTGCAGCCCGCAAAGCACAGTTCACACCATTGTATGCCAGAGGCAATTGGCGGTGATTCTTGTCCTGGGGAGCTGGCCTTGCTGATGAGGGCTATTGGAAGACCTGGCAGTTTCCTGAAATAGAATTAACACATCCAGAACAGGAAAAAGAACGCGGAGTTCAGCAACAAGTGCAGTCATGCTACTCGAACCATAGCAGTGCCTTCATTGCCCCTGGATCTGTCAGCCATTTGAGCGCCTTGAATTGTGTCTCAGTTTGTTCACTGCATCACCTTGAATTATACCTCAGTTTGTTCACTGCATCGCTGTGGCCATGCTGTGACAGGTGTTGATCAGGCAGACTCCTATGAGGAGCTTTGCAACTTCATAAAGATTGTCTCTGAGGGTTCTGACGTTCGGCACTTCATCATTCATGCCCGCAAGTGCCTACTCAAGGGTCTCAGCCCTCATCAAAATAGAACAATTCCCCCATTGAGGTGTGTATATCCAGAACGTGGAGCGGCCCTGAGCCAGTTGCACCTTCAAAATCTTGGCTGTCACATTGTTTGGATGCATGAACATCACAGCACTGATTGCTTCCATGGTCTGATGCTAGTCAAGGATGAGCTGGTGCTGTTCTTTTTCCATTGCAGTTGCCTTAACGCAATCTGGGGCAATTTGGGCCAGTATTGTGTTGCAAACTACAGATCTGCTCTTGCACTGTGGCAGAGCATGAGCATTAGCTGGTACCTGAATTTTTGGCAGTTCTACATTCGCTACACAGCTACCACCAAGATTTGTCTTCATGCAGAAGAATCTACCCTTCATACTAGGATCACTATTGCAATGAATGGTCAGCCAAGCCATAGCCACAGGGACATTGTGTTTTGTTCTTCTCCTGGCGTTTGATTCACCCAATGTGGCAGGTATGGCTGGATCCATGCCCTTATTCGAGACTTTCCTGATCTGGAGTTCAGCCTGAATGGGGGAGTTAAAACATGCGAGGACGTGCGGAGCATTCTGGACTACCGGTCGCCAGAGGGACGTGGCGTGCGCAGCGTGATGGTTGGTCGTGCTGCATATGATAATCCATGGAATATGCTGGGAAAAGCTGACACCATGATTTTTGGAGCTGAATCGAATCCTGCTGCGAATCGACGACAGGTAATGCGCAGTCTGCATGATGTGCATGGAACGTAATTCATTGAAGCGACACGAAAATTGCTATGGAGTGATGCTGGTGACTGCCGTTCTTGTGGGGCTTGATGTCGCCTGGTGGGCTGTGCACAGTGCCCACAAATACATCGTACCACGTTGACAATCTGTCATTCTGGGATTCGTCTTCACAGCAAATATTTATCACATCTGTTTCTCTGCTGCGATCACCTTGTCATGTCATCAGTCCATTCGCGTTGCTGCATTGTCATAGGCATGGCCAACACTGTGCAACAATTTGCATTGGCATTTGACAAGTGACCACCCTGGGGAAAACAAATGCATTCTAGCGAAACAATTTCCTGGGGCCCGCCTTGATCGATTCCACCTAATTTTGCAGAACACACTAATGATGGCACCATCTTTAATGACCACAACTTGTTTTTGGCCAACTGTGGCCGAGTGACAGTATAGCACCTGTGTGGCAAGTCGTCATTGTGTGGAACCAGTATGCTAGAAGGCCTTGTTGCTGGTCCTGACCAGAAATGAAGGATTCGGGGATGCCTAGGGTGCCATACTTTTGCAGTGGAATGCGCACCAAAGATTCAGTTAAGTCGTTGAATTTGTTATCCGTCTATGTGGGACCAAGGACCTGAATACTTGCAATAGTCGTGACGGCTTGAGCACCTCGTTTTTGTCTGTAGCGCCACGTGTTGCAGCACCCTGTGCTGGGTACAACCGATCTGTGGCTCACGAGGAAATGGGGAGAAGTGGCTGCCATCTGTGCTGGTCATCTTTACGGTTTTGGGTCGTTTTGAATTGTCAGGTCCTGAAGCAGTATGGCGAATTCGCTGACGAGATGTACGGAAAGTGGAGTGCCGCCATGGATGGCAGCAAGAAGCCCAGTATGCGGGTGCTCATCAAGCCCCTTCTGAACCTATTTCATGGCGAGAAAGGCACCAAGCAATGGAAGCGCGCTTTGGATGCCCACCTCTTGGAAGGCTGCCAATGCGTGTCCGAGCTGCTCCAAAAGTCAATGTCAGGTGTTCCAGACAGCGTCCTTGATGCGCCACCTGCGGCAGCTGGCAAAGGAGTGGACTACTGCCCAGGGGAGCAACCAGAGCCTTGTGTGAGGGGATTGGGAAATGCGGGTTTGGAGAATGGGTCACAAAGAGAGGAGTTGGTGATTTTGGAAGCAAACGGCTAGATCGGAGATGACTGTGGTGTGCCAGCAGGGCAGGCCATTGTGGAGCGAGCGTTTACCAAACCCCTTTCGATGGTGATTCTTTTGCCTCGTCAATTGAATTTATTTCATTTCCATTGGTATTTTTCGGAGTGCGAGGTTCTCAGGGCGATGTGTAATTAGATTTGATGGTGCTTCCTTTGCGAAGCAATTTCGAAGAATCTTCTGTACTTGGCAGCCCCCCAACCACGAGGAGCACAGGGAACCCTCTGAGTTGCCTTGGTCGCCGTTAAGAGGATTCCCCAGAAACGCATTCACTGGCTTTGTGCGTGCCGTCGGCTACGCCGTGCGTCCGTACATAGGGCACTACTGTGACTTTTGTGAGCTGGACGGACGCTATGCCCAGAGCTTTCCCCAAAAAGCCGAAAAAAACTGAACAGATGCTTCTCAGTACTTTAGGACAGTACTGTGCGAATGTCCACCAACATTCTTGCGCCGCTGCGAGTTGGCTGCAGCACGCAACTAGCTGGCAGACGGGCTGGCACACGGGCTGGCTCACGGCTGTGCCCCGCCCAACGCGCCGCCTTCAAGCGCCTTTCCTTCCCACCTCCTATCGGCACTCCCAGCTTGAAAGCAGGCCCCCGCGGTACGCCGCTGCAACTGCCGCATCTGCCATCCACTGCGGCGAGAATGCCTGCCTCCATTGTGCCTGGCCGCCGCGCAGCACCCCCGGCCACGCCGGGCAGACAGTGGAACCGCCGGCCCGACCGACGTTGGATAGCCGCAGGATAGCCAAAAGTGCAGCTGCCCCCGCCGCCATCAGCCCCGCCCAATTTTGTCAGTTCGTGTCGAATTTGCCAAATGCGCCACGTTTTGCGAAGCAAACCTTGCCATCGGGTGTCCCTGCCCGCAACCGTTTCTCCCTGGTGCGCCCTCCCCATCGCTCTGCGTGCTGATCGTCAGCTCGGCAGCCGATTGGCCACCACTCTCAAGCCGTCCATCGACGTTGGGCTGGCAATCGCAGGCAATGGCCGAACACCGCTGAAGATCACCGTAGGGCGGCCAACGCTGATCGCCACCGTCTGTGTCTCGCAACCTGCTGTTCTCCAGGCAGCCAGTGGAATGCTGCTTGGGTTCGCCACCCCGGGCCGTGCCCTTTGCGCCTCAGCTACGGCAACCCTCCAGGCCGCCATGTCTGACAGTGAGGCGACTTCAAATATCATCGCAAGCGTGCGTGGGCCCCACGCGTACGGCCTGAAGCCTTACCTCGATTGACGATGGTATCTTGGCTGACAGCTACGGAATCTCTTAGCCACCGTCCCTCCTTTGAGTCACTGCGCGCTAAGCATACAAAAGGTCGAGCAAGTGTCTTACCTAACAGCCTCAGCGGACGACGCTAACTGCGAGCAAAGGTCTTGCTAGCTCGTGATGTGAGTCTCACATCACGAGCTGAAAAGCCCCCTTGCTCGACACTATGAGGGGGTAGTCATGCCACGGGGTGTCTCCAAGGCCGCCTTCATGGCATTCAAACAGCGTCGCCCATCTGATAAAATCCTGCCGAAAGCTGTCAGTGCTTAGGCGCTCCGTACACCCTACAAGCCCAAACCAGATCGCCAAAGAGCTCCCGGCGTCGGCAAACGGCTTGCAGCGCGCGCACAAAGTCGTCCCCAACGGACCCCCGTCTGATTTCGGCTCGCTGACATGTCGCAAACGTGGCCTCCTAGGCCACGCTTACATAACGAGTTTCGCCATCGAAAGTCACTGTCGGGCGGCAGTGGCTGTGCCGACCACGAAAGCCCAACATGCGCCTGCCGCCATCACAGGTCGACCGTCAACACCTATTTGAACGTCCGACGGGCAGCGAGCTCAGATCAGACCGGCGCTGCTGTTTGTGTGAGTTCCCCAGATCGCCCCGTCGATCCCCCACGGCCTCAACCCTTCTCCCGGCGGGCGGACCGCCAGGCCGAGGCCATGATCGGGGACGTGGAGTGGCCCAAGAAGGAGCGCGAGGTGCGCAACTTCTGCATGGACTCCACCATCTGGGACGGCGTGGCCTTCCGCGACGGCGACATCGTGATTGGCTCCTATTCCAAGGCCGGCACCACGTGGACGCAGCAGCTCGCGGGCCAGCTGCTCACGGAAGGGGACCCCGAATTCGACAGCAGCAAGGCCACCATGTGGGTGGAACTCGTGTTCCCGCCCAGGGAGGAAAAGCTGCGGGTGCTGGAGGAGCAGTCGAGCCGGCGGTGCATGAAGACGCACCTGCCTGTGGACGCCCTCTCGCTGTCGCCCAAGGCCAAGTACATCTACCTGGTTAGGGACGGGCGGGACGTGGTCTGGAGCTTTTACAACCACCACGTGGCGCTCAAGCCCGAGTCGTACGAGATGTTCAACGGGCCCACCAACCCCGGCCCCCCCTTCGAGCCGCCCGTGGACGACGTTCGAAAGTACTGGCGCGACTGGATGGATCGCGACGGCCACCCGCTGTGGCCATTTTGGGAGCATGTCAGGGGATGGTGGAGTGTGCGGCACTTGCCCAACGTCAAGCTGCTGCACTTCAACGACCTGAAGAAGGACTTCGACAAGGAGGCGCGCGGCCTCGCGGACTTCCTGGGGATCCCGATCAAGGAGGACAGGTGGGCGGACATCGTGGACCACTGCTCGCTGGAGTGGATGCGGAAGACGGAGAAGGGCGGGGGGTTCATGGAGGACGGCGCGTTCTTCAGGCAGGGGGGTGTGAACGGGCGGTGGAGGGACGCGCTGACGGGCGCGGAGTGCGAGGAGTACGAGAGGCGGGCCGTGGAGGAGCTGGGGGAGCAGTGTGCGCACTGGCTGGCAACTGGGGAGAGACTGGACTGACCGGCGTGGGGGCGTCAGTGGGGGGGGCGTCAGTGGGGCGGGGCGTCAGTGGGGCGGGGCGTCAGTGGGGGGGGCGTTGTGGCGTCAGTTTTACGTCAATTTCTGCGCGCGTGGTCCCGGTTTCGTTGCTGTTGGCTGGGTGGCATGCCGTACATACGTGTCATGACGTGCGCGAGGTTCAATGCGCTCTTGACAGCGCTCGCTGTCCTCATCCTCCGGATGTTCTGTTGGATCAATTCACAAGGAGGCTGGTGGTTTAATAAGCTTCCTCTACTTCTGGCGTCATGGATGGTCACGTGTGCAAGCGGCGGGCTCGCCTCGTGCGACACACCAACTCGGGCGCATTTCGCTCGCCACCTCGATCCTGACTTTGGCTGGGGCGTCCTAGCATTGCTGTTCATTGGCACGGCAATGCATCATATACTTCCGTTGCCCGGTATTGGTTGAAACAGTCTGGTGTGAGGCAATTGTGTTAGCGCTCATTGCCCTTCGGAAATCAGAACAAAGCGCCGCCTGTGAACTCGGTAATGTCCCTCAGGCTCTGCAGAGAACATGCAAACACAGCTCAAATATCAGGGCTTTGAAGCAAAGTGACTCGACCGGGAATTCGAAAAATCCCCAGGCTTCACACTAACCCGCCAAACACATCCCCTGAACGGGTCGCTTTCGGACTGGAGGTGTGCAGCGCAGAATGCATGTCTGCCACCGCCGTTTCGGCAGCGGGTACTAGCTCTTTCCAGGGAGCTGCGAGACTGCGGAGGCGGGATCTGCACTGCGACATCGTGGACCTTGACCATGATTTTCAAGAACAAGTGAAAATTTACGCTTGCGGGTTGGGAATGCTTGAATTGCCTAGGTAACCAAACACGCCGTTTGAGAGCGCAAGGCAGCCATAGAAGAGATGGCTGAATTTCTTGAGACCACTGTCGGAAATTTGACAGGATGTTGTTGTCATCAGACCTTGCGTGAACCAAAGCATGGAAGACAAGGCTAGGATCCTCAATTTCTTTTCAATTCCTTTTCGGCAGTGCACACGGGCAATGCCACGGTTTGCATTTCCAGCCCCCATTGCATCGCTATCGTGAGAGATTTCGAGCCACCCCCCCCCAAAACCAGGAAAGTCCACCATGTCGATATTTTTGGCTGTAAATGCACAGCTTAACCGTCTGTGGTCGCGTTAGTATACGCCGACGACCGATATGAATACACATTCATGTCAAGTTGAGCCTGGATGAACGGTAAACAATGCAGGCCATTGGTTTCAGTTCCACAAGAAAACACAGATCTCGGGCGCTCCCAGAAATTGCATGCTTAGGCTGTAGACAGCAAGCCTCCTGGCGACCGCTGTTCCCAACACATTGGCGCGTCGCTGAGCAATGTATCGAGGACTTGCAGAAACCGGCAATAGCGAGAAGCAAATCAAGACATTATATGTTCCCCATTGCGACTTTGCTAATCGTCAAGTTGGAACCCGAGAGGACAGGCCCGCAGGAAAGGCCCGGTCCTGAGTGAGGCTGTCATGGATCTGGGCCTAGGAGGCAAAGAACGTTGAATGGGTTCAATTTCTGTCTGTAATTGCGCAGGTGCGATGCCATATCAATACCCCTTTACTCATCATCATGTTCAATTCTAGCACATAGCTGTTTCAACGCATAGTGAGAGGTATGACCTAATTTCTACTGAAAAATATAAAGTACACGGCACAAATATGCCCACCTAAGCTAAACCGTGTCTTTCAGTCCCCGACAGAGCAAACGAGTAGATACATTTGTGAACATTCATACGCTCATTTATCACTATCAGTATGGGATCACTCACAGTAATTTTTCTGATTGCAAAAAGGCAATCATTTAATTGCAGTTGAATAGGAGTGCAGGGGTATTCAGAAGACGACGAATTCGAAACATATTTCATGTTTGTATCTATGATATCTTAATTGTGCAAGTATGTAATTTTTTCTTTCCGCATTTACGTTATTTGAACCCCCGCGGATGTTCTCTATCCTGTGGCCACATAATCAATTCCTGATGGGACGTGCGTCCGCGGTTTATCCCTTCAGGTCCTGAAGGATTCCTGGAACCCATACATAAGGATTTGTCCATGCACAGGCGGTCCCAACCGCAATGATAACCAGTATTCCGACCCGTTTCTGCATGACTGCACCCTCACAGTCCCATCACAGTGACGGCGATTGCTCAAACCGGCCGAATTACGTACGGAACGATTGATTCGGTAAATGAATCCTCAGGTGTCAACTGCGCGTGGCGCCTTTAAATGTCCGCAAATTTGTGGGCCTGTTTCTGGCGTATTTTGTTGAACATAACGGCACAGGGACGAATGGCACTCCTATCCCCAACTTCCAACACATGAATAAAAGCACGAAAAATGTCACAAAGTGACGGCGCTCTAAAGAAGTTTCGAACATAAATGTTCGAAACGACACCGAAGGTTGTGATGCACGTTGGCAGTACCGGAATGTCTTTGTGCGGATGCGCCCGCCATCTATCCAGGGGCACGCTCACGCAACGGGGCACGTGGATATTTGTTGGCCTTGCTGAAATATATCGTCAACAAGGGCACGTTGCTGATGGTTCATCTGAACGGCCCCCGGCAATCAGAAAGATGCCGTGGGCGGACCAAGCATCATTGGACTCCAGCACGAACCAACTGGAGTGTCTTTGCGTCTCTCCTGCTGCAATACAACATCTATGCCCTCAAAATGCAGAGACACTGTGATGATCAAGCTTGGGCCTTCCACTGAAAAATGGCGCCCTTTATCGCCCATGGCTAGCAGCTCCATTTGCGGGCAGCGTGTGAGCGCGACCTTCAAAAGGCCTCTTTGCGGCTCTCTCTACGGCCACCCAGCCCTTTATCTTGCGGCTGTGACCCCTAAAGATGCGATGCCTAGCGGTGCAGAAACGCGCAATACCGATGGAGCAATTGCCGAATAATGTACTCCTCAGAAAGCGATGATGCAACTCTACTGCCAGAATTCTGCCGTATTCTAAATGCCAGAATACTCCAAGTATTCAGCAAAGCGCAATATGCCCGTGCACTCCCAGGATTTTACTGTGTTTTCCGTGCAAAAACATCCACACTCTCAGTGGCCCTTCACTCTTGCCATCTGTTTATTTTACGTGTCAGCTGGTTGGTGCGTGGGCTTTGTGTTGTTACGCATTTGCAAACGCAAACAGGCCCAGTCCTACTCGTAGGCAAAACGTGTGTAACCTGATCACTGACCGTGCTCGCCCGTGTCAGGCTTACCGACCACCAAGTCTTCGGCTTAAACACGGCGAAGGGAGGAGCGTTGGGTGCTGCGTTGGCGACGCTGACCCCTCGCTGGCTGCCCCGGTCCTAATCCTAATTCCCATCTGCCCGCCACAGCAAGGTCACACATTCTTCGCCACCCCCAAACGCAGCTACCATTCTTCTTTGTGGGGAGTCGTGCGCGTCTGGGACCCGCAATTGTGCTGTCAGAACAGCAGACGGCAAAGGGCGTGTGTCGTCGCTTGGGGCAGCGCGAGGCTAACCCCGTCTGTGGCGACGAGTGGCAAAGATGGCAGTTCGTGACATGAGAGGTACCCCTAAGTCTGGCCCTGCGCCCTGTAGACGGTTCTTCCCCGTTTGGCTTCCCTCCATTCAAGCGTTGCTGACGAGAGCTCTCTTGTTTTGCTTCCCTCCCTCCTCGGCGCCCTTCGGACTGCAGTGTAAGTGGCTCCCACCTGGCTTAGGCGCGAGTTTCTGTGCGAGCCCGCGATTTCCCCGGCGCCCTAGGGCTCCGATTCGCATGGATTCGCCAGCAGCTTTGTTCCTATCGCGGGAAATATCCTCAGGAGGAATTCTTGGTCAGAAATACTTGCGTGGACGCCATGAGTTCAGCTGCGAGGAGTGGGTGTGCTGGGAAGGGCGTGCGCGTCGATCAGCTTTGTCCACAGCCACGCGCAGTTTGTTGCCAATGGCGTTCTCCCATGTCGGTTCTACTTGGGGAACAGACGCCCGATTGGTGTTGCGGCTGTGCATCGGCTTTCCTGCTTGATAAATAATGGTTATCCAATGTCAGATGAGCCGTAGGGCGCACGTGGGCGAGCTGAAAGTAGTGTTTGCCGTCTCGTGTAGGGTGTTGGTGCTGGCGCTCATGTTCTCCGTCAGCGTTCTGCTGCAGCTGCTGGTGGGTGAAAACGGTTTGTAGTGTAGAAGACTCAAGGGTGGTTCCAATTTTTTGTGGGAATGTTGCACACATCAGGCCTTGGCCATGCAGAGTTGGAAGTACGAAACCAGACTTTAGGCAGCCCCAGTATGACCACGATGGGAAGCCCGCTCCCCCCCCCTCCCTCCTCTAGGACATCTGTAGGCCTTCCTGTCAGCCTGGAATTGACTTTAGGTCATCCATTTGCTCATGGTCACTTGAACCAATGCTGCACTGGCTGTGGCAGAGCTGAAGCACTCCATTAGAATATGGAGCCACTTTGCCTAAAAACTGTTTGGTGTCCAGGGTTGCGCCCTGTTCAACAACTGGTGGCCCATGCTGACTGCCCTCCTCTACGTGTTTGTGCCTATGCCTTATTTGTTCTTTGGCTCATCTGGTGGAGACTCGCTCTATGGCGATGGCGGAAATGGGTGGGTTTTGCTGCTGGTCTCTGCTTCTGTTGAACAGATACTCTTGATGCACACACCCACACACACCAGTCATACCTTTGCATAGCAGAAAAATAGATTGCTTGTCCACCATTCGGCCATTCCACAATTGTAGGGCTGCTTCACGTGTCTCCAAATTGTGTGGTGGCCTTGGTGGTAGCAGTACCTTGGTACTGATGTTTAAAAGGTTCCTGTCTATGCAGTTGCTTCATGCTAAATGTTCCTTGCATCTGCACATGTGCCTGTGCTGAAAAGCTGACTTGCAACTGTGCCAACAGTTTGAGCTGCAACTGGAGAGATGAGTTGTTGCAGATGCTTTGCTACAACTGTGGTCAGGCAATTCTGCATCTGCACAACAGTTGCAGAGCTTTGCATAGCTCGTTGCATTGTTGGACAGCTCAAGAGTCAGGGTCGGCCAGATATTTTGAATGCGTTAAATGTTTTTGAGCACGTCAAGTTGATTAATTCTACTGTTGCACTCGGTATGGCAGAATCATGAGAACTAAGGAAGCATGACTTAGGCTGTTGGGAAGGCTTGTTGTTGGGCCACTTGTTATTTTTGAAGAAGGATAAATGTGCCATTGGAGTTGCCTGACATGCGCCTTCTCTGCCACTTGAGCTGCCTCTGTATCAGTACAGGGATCTTTTGTGGCACTGCTGCATGTGGTGGCTCAAAGACTGTCCCATTATGGTGCCCCAGGATCCCTCCTCCCTGAACGATGTATTCATGGGTGCGTGCTGCCCTCCAACCACCAGTCCACATCTAAACCATGGCATTTCTACAAAGACAGTTGACAGTTAGATGCTGCTGTTGTTTGCAGTTGGTCCGACTGGGGCAAGTTTCTGACGGGGTTTTCTGCAGTGGGCATGATCGCGATTCCTGCTTCACTGCGGCATGCAGCAGTAAGTACCCGCAACACCTTTCACAATTCGTGACAGAGGTTTGAGTGACCTTGTGTTTGTGGCTACCAAGAAGGTCCCGTACATTGTTCACATGGTCTGTGAACGATCAACCACCTTCTTTCCAACAGCGATGCGAATGGTTCAAGGAGCCCATGAAATCCCTTGGCCAGTGGCTGTCAAATCAGCATCCAGTCATCAACGCAAGCCGATCCTTGCCACAAAGCTGGTCGAAACGTGCACAGGTCTACTCCAGGTCAACGTCTTGAGTCTGATTTATAAGCTGTCCACAGCTGCGGAGCAGCACCTTCCTAAGATCACATAGATCACTGACACCATTTCTTTTGCCCACGTCCCACAAACACTTTCCCACTCTCCCATACTCAACTGTGAGCTGATACATCCTGGAGCAGTTGCAAGTTATTTGCAACAGGACCTAGCAGTTTGATGTTGCATTGCCCTGAGCGTGAATGGGAATGTGTGCCCCACATCAGCAGGTGCATTGAATCGACAAGTGCTCCATGGTTCCTGTTGACTTCGTTCTTTGGCCATCCACAGATAATCAAGACCGGTGCCTTGGTGATGGAAGTCGCTGGGGCGTTGGTCCTTTTTGCCACGGTGTTCATCTACGATTATTTTAGCAGTCGCAGTGGCTACCTTTAGATTGCAGAGTGGGCGCCACTTTGAAGATCCTAAACGGGGCCAGCTGCGATTTGAACCCCAACTCGCAGGCTGTACCCGTGGATTGACAAGGGGCAAATACAGCTTCAGGGATTGCCCTCCTGTATGCATGCTGTTGTTTTGTCAGACTGTAGGTGTTTGCTATGCTTTGGAGTGCAGGTTGTGTGCATCAACGGGTTGCAGAAAGTTATGCCGGGATTGGCATCAGTGTGCACGAAGCTGCATTTTGCAGTCAAGGCGTTGGGTTCGGTCGGGGTGCATCCGTTCCTCCCCATTTTCTTTAAAAACGCCCTGAGCGCGTTAAACAGTGGACGGAAGGGACACACAACAACATCAAAAGTGTGAACAGGGGGCGCTGTGATCAAGAAACAGCACTACTAGCATGCTATCTCATTGCTAAACTGTTCATTGGCACGTCGTTCTCAAGCCAGTGGCAGAGGAGATGGTTCCTTAGCTGAGAATACAAAGTGTGCCCCACGTTTGGCTGGAGACTCGTCATCTTTCCAAAGCCGGAACTGCACGGGTTCTCATGAGGGCCACATTGCAGACCGGCACGGGCTGGGTCATCTTAATCTTCCACGTTTCTTGGACAGACATGGGCGGACTCTGGCAGAAAGAATTGACAATTCGTTGCGCCTGATGCACTGCGCTGCCTGCAGATAATTTGTACAGACGCGCATTGAAACGCAACAAGACTTAAATCCCGTACAGACTTGCAGAGAAGATGCCAGTCGGTCTCTTTCTGGAGTTGCACAGACACGGACCGCCCCTTGAGACCTGCGATGGACTGATCGAGTCAGTCACCATGTGTCACTGTTTGAAGGCACCAGCAAACATGACTGGCGGGCAATTTAACGCCTCCAAGCGAGCCTTGACACAATATTGTGTCATTAATGTGACGGAGTGAAATTGGCAACCCCTGAACCCCAGAGTCCATGAGCGGTGCAACAGACTTGTGATTGATTGCCCCGTATTGTGTCGGAATGCTGTTCCAACTGGGCCGTATGTACGATCTTTGCCGCGGCATTTGGCGCACTTATTCGGCTTGGTGAGCACGCACACGGGCGTGGCGCTTCTGCGGGAGGGCGTGGGTTTATGCAGTGACGTCCCTGAAGTCCTCCCTGGCTGAACGGCCGACTGGAATCGACCATGGCATCGCGCTTCGGTCGCCTGCTTGCCAGAGTTGTTGGCGAAGCGCGGGTTTTCGGGCGCGGAATAGCGGTTCGAGGGCAGGACACGCCCGTGGGTATGTCGTTCAGGCATGAGGGATGCTGCGGAGCCGTAATTGGGCGGTCGTTGACCCACCACGCGCGGCAATGGGGGCAGCCTTCCACCAGCTTCGCATCCTCAGGAGGGCGGCCGCCGCGGGAGAGCCGGGCTTCGTGCCTGTCGGACGCGCTGCCAGATGATCGGACTGGTGGGCTGTCTCCGTGGTTTTAATTGTGAAGGCGGCATTGAACGGAATTGCGGCGTGTTCATTGTGGCTTTGGGGTTATGGCGGATTGGCTGAGGGAAGGTCGCACCCAAGGGGCCGCGTCAGGAGCTCTTGCCGGAGTTGGCGGGTTCTGCTTCACCTCTTGTTGGGAAATAGGCGATGGCCCTATGGTGGTGTGTCGATTCTTGTGAGATCCACCAAAAGCTCATGAACGTCTGGATGAATGTGAACGCAGTGTGCATTGGACGGCAAGTTATCCTTGATGGTTTTGTTGGTGTCTGGGTATGCCTTTATGCGTGCAGACGAAGGTACCTACGGGATTGTCTGCAAATCTGCGTTGATGTTGTTGCCTTTTGGCCCTTCTTTGTTGATGCTGAGATTCGCAACCGTCTCTTTGCTAAAACAACAGGCTTCTCCGCTGCTGCCGCTGATGGGGAGCAATTGTCCAGTGAGGCAGAAGACGTCCCTCAAAACATGCATTCTGTTAAGGCCGCTCAAAAGCCAAAACGACAGCGAAATGCCTTCAAGCGTCAATGGAGGAGGAGGAGGGACACTATGGTAAGCAGCCAGGCGCTCTACTTCCTCAGACAATCCCCAATGCGTGGTGCATGGATTGCCAAAGGCTTTGCACCTGTGGCTGATGTGATTTCCCCCCCGGCCTGTGTGCCATTACAGCACAGTTCCGTCTCAATTTCATGATCATTCGCTTGTACTGGCAGGAATCTGCTAGCATCAGCAAAGAACAGAGGAAGGCTGCCAAGGCCAGGAAACTGGAGAAGGCCCAGGAGAGATGGAGGGCTGGAGCAGAGTTCATGCGAGCGTGGGCAGCCAAACAGGCAGAAAAAGAAAGAGTTGAGTCTTAAAAAGTGGGAGCTGGCTCAGCTGCTGGATGAATCTGTATTTATATTGAACCAGAATGCAGAATCGCATTGTTTTGTATTTGAAAATATGGACAGTCCTCTCTCCACGATCTGGTGTTTCGTTCCACTTTTACCCAGACAAAGAATCAAGCAGTGATGCTTCCGATGCAGCCATCAATGCACAACACAATGCACATGTGATGCACTTGTGTGTGTTTGTGTATATTTCCCTTGATATCCGTGCAAGAAGCCAAGATCGTAAGTATTCATGGAGCAACAACGTCCTGCAAAATGCAGCCAGCTTAATACAGGTCATGGCAGTGTTTCCTCATTTACTGCTGGTCTGGCCTGCAATGTGACGCAGAATGCCTTGCCACACAGCAGCAAAGTCAGCATATAAAGTGTGTTTTTATGGAATGGACACACAACTGATGTTTTGTCCTTGAGGTGCACCTGTTCGATCTAACGGGTTGCACAGTTAGTTCCTTTGAATGCATCTGCGATGGCGTACAATATCAAATGATGTGTCCTGTAAGTCTCTGGCATTTTGGGCCCCCACTTTAGGCCCCCGAATTTGATCTGCGATACACCATAATCGATTTACTTCCTTGGATGAAGCAATAATCTGATCTGTTTGACAACTCTCATGGCCCCCCACCGAGTTAGCTCATAAGGATGCAAATCCCAACCCTCATCCATCTGTTTCGATGCCTGATGCGCTTTCTCGGTTCGCTTCTCCAATTTTCTCTTTTGCCTCTCATATCTGTCTGCAATTTCATCATTATCGTCATCTTCTTCATGCACCTTCTTCAGTTGATATGACTGTAACCAGAGAAAAACGGCAGAAAATCAGCTCCAGTGCTGTTACACTGCGTGACGGACGACAGGTTGAACACATGTTTAAACATGACCATCATGGGAATAACGTGAGGCTGGGGCTGACCAGCTGATCCGTTGGTTTCATATTGTTGCACCAAGCATAGCAAGCGTACACAGAGTGCTGTCCACCAAATTCGGATTGTAAACATTGCAGAACAGAGGCTCCTGGGCACTTCTCAACCAAGGGTTGACGGGTACCCATCAGTTGGAGGATTGTCCGATACAAGTCATTTGTGGCCACGAAGGGCATGAACGGGTCATGAAAGGCACGAGGGCCATAGAATCCTAAATTCTGGAAAACCTAAACGCAACACAAATTTCATGGCCTTCATGTCCGGAACTGAAGGGTGTCCAACATTTGTGCTCAATGTGAGCATTTTCGTCATTGCTACGACGTTCGCTACGCGAGACCCTGACCGAAATTTCGGCGCCACATTGGTGCCAACACAGATGATGCTCCTACACGATTACTCGCAAACAATAGGATAAACAATAGGACACTAAATCTTGCCGCGAATGGTTGAACTTTCGTTGCAGCGAGTGCACATGACAGACGTGTTTTGGTTTGGGCAGCTCCAATCACAGAGTTCTTGTTTTAGAGCCCCTTTTCTCCATCGCTCTGCAAAACGGCACAGTGTGCTGCTTGGAGGTACTTGCTGCTAGATGAAATAAGACAACTGATGACGGTTCTGTTCGCAGGCGTCGCATTGCGACTTTGCACGTTGCAGGATGCGCTAGACGCAGCTCCCAATGTGCGGGTGAGCTCCAGATGCAAATTCGGGGGATATCATGTGGCCATCACAATCCCTGCCCACGTCAGCCACCAGCAAAGCGATAGTTGGTTTCACCTTCACAACCGACCCTCGTAATGCATCCAGGACACTTGCTTGGCTACAGGTCGTGGCGTCGCCAATGACATACACACGTTCCTCCTGCGCTCCATATGAAGGAACATCGACACCTAGAACCTTCATCTCGTACACACCCTGCAATACCGTGATGCCATAGACATGGCCAGCTTCAAAGAAAGCATTACATTACGTGGAATGGAGAGCAGCACAATCAAGGAAAACAAACTGATGTGAAAGGGCAAACGAGAAATGGCAACATCCGTCAGATTCGGTTAGCACAGGAAAGGTTGATTTAGATCTGGTTCACAAGCCCTCAGAGGCAGCAATTCGCGATAGAATACATATTTTGCTGCATGGCCAGGCAACAGATTGCTCGGTTCTTCAGTAAACCACACTTGAGAGTGCTGTCGACACATGACCGCCCAGTGACCAATAATTCGCTTTCTCCTGCAAACCCCAGCAATTCCGAAACCATCTGGAGCCTACCATGTTATGGAGTCAGCGGCATCAACGGCTTTCAGAGTCTTGTCAGAGTGTTTCGTGGAAGAAACTATGGAAAGGGAAAATAAAGCTGATCACACCAATGTTTGTGCTAAGCGCAATCTTGGCATCGTCACAGAAAAATGGGCGCATATAAATGAGCAACAATGCTTACTACCTTCGCTTCCACTACTCAGCCAAGTTTCACAGTTGTCCTGCTCGCGACACAGGGATCCCACCCGTTCCTACGCCCACCTTGCGCCTCTTTGCCTCCAAGAATGCCAAGCCCCTGCGCTCAGCACCTTTCAGGGGGAAGACCATATGCACCCGGCGCGGCTGAAACCTGAGTCCCCAGCCCTGTCCAAAGAAGGCCAATCTCAATTGGCATCCTCAATTCGTTACCCCAGCTTTCTGGGCGACATCTGTTACCGCATCTCCCACTGGGAGCACAGCTGAAACCCAGACGTTTTCTTAGTT